GCCGCGAGTTGCCGATACTCATCGGGGCCACGCACGGAACAAAATTGAAGTCTGGTAGCGAAGGGATGCGCTCCTGCGTCCTGGCGCCCTGCTGCGGCGCGACACCATCGGCAGTGGGTTAGGGGAGGGCTTGAGCGGGGGCTGGACTGGTCTCGTAGACCTCGGTGTGGGACGTTGGCGCGCGGTGGGCTCTGGTCAGCAGTCTCCCTCTGCTCACCCATCCCTGCCCTTCCTTTCCCTCTGTATCCACCCGAAAAGGCCAGTGCACTACATCCAGCTTTGCTGCTAACCCACTCTGCTTCACGGCAAACACACAACCTGACCTTTCGAGCATTGAGTTGAGCTTTTTTTTTTTTTTGGCCAGCTTCATACTTCTTTTTAATTTTTTTTTTTCCCTCTCAAAATACGTACTGTATAATTGACAGTAGCAAATTTCTGTAGCTTATAGTGTAGCTTTAATTTTCCCTTTCGAAGCGGTTCTAAAATTTTCTTGGTTTAAAGAGAGACCTCTGTTGCTTACATGTCATGAATTATTTACTTTGGCTGTCAACTGTTTCTCCATTTTTAAAAAGAAATTATATATATTGTTTGGTTCACTCAGGAAATGCATGTGTCAGGAAACCTGTATTATAAGTTCAGTTAGCTGTCATGTACAAGTAACTGCTGTTACTCCCTTTCCATAGAAATATAACTGATTTTGACATTTTCCAGATTATATGCATTAAGTAACGAAACTTATGCAGCAAGAAACCCCTGTATTGTAGTTGTTCTAATCATTTTATTCCGACTATATTATACTGTAGGTTAATTTTTATTTGCAAATTAATTTATTCAAACTACGTGAGTAAACACTTTTCAAAAATAGAAATTCTGGGATTGTCTGTTGCTTTGTTTTCCGAGGGACGGGGCAGGTGGCTGGAGGTGGCCCTTCTGCTGTCATGTAAGGTGACCGTTCTGCACGTGTGGATTAAGATCTCGGGGAAAAGAAATAACTGCAGAGGTGTTTTGCGTGTTACCCCGGTCCTGGATTTTGAAGGGCTCCTTTCCCATGTGACCTTTTTTATATTTATCCCGGTGTTAACAAAGGCAAGATTCTTGTTCAAAAGGCAGAGTTACACAATCTCTTCCCTGAGTTACAAATAACGAAATGTAAGCAAAATCTTTAAATTAAATGGTTGGGCTCTTGTAAAATGTCAGGAGCTCTTGATTCCGTCTTCCACAGAACGGGATTGACGCTGCTTCTCTGGGCCTGGTTGTGTTCACCACGGGGATATGAAAACTCAGAAAAGGGCGCGATGACAGCTACAAAGCAGTACGAGCAGTATAAAGACGACTTGTGAGAACAGGCTGAGAAGGGGATGGCAGCGGCCACGTGGAAAGCGGTGTGCTCGCCCCGTGTTGGAGGCTGGTGTGGAGCCGACAGCGCAGTTGGGTACACGTGCGTCCCCTGTAGAGGGGAAGGAGAGGTTCAGGCCCAACACGCTTCTCCCTCATGAAGGTGATACTTTACGCTTTCGTTATACTTCTCCACACCCCAAAAGAAACGCCGCAGAGAAGGTGTAGCCTTAGCGGAACCGGCGGTTCTTCTGCGTAGCGTTAGGCTAAGACAACCCCACGCTCTCTGACGGGTGTTTATTTTTCTTGACCCAAGCTGGGCTTGTCAATCCCATTTTTAATTGGGCATTCAAATGCCCAAGACAGAAATCCCACTGTCGAAAGCAGGTTGAATCGTTTGAGGAACAATTTCCATACAACATGCAAGCTAGCTAAAAGCAGTAGCTTCGACTGCGGTTCTCTATTTGAGTTCCCCGTGTCCTCCCCGGGCTTCTGTTCTTTAATAAACAATTTAAACAGAAGGTCCTGTTCTCTGTAAACTGTGAAACGAATGTCAGATTAAAAGTAAAACGATCCCTTCGGCTCAACCAGCTGGCTGAAGCACTCCGAGCTTGTAAGGCCTTTACTCCTGAAGAAATTTGGGAGCTGGGAGAAGCACGAGAGGTCGCACCGTGCCGGCTTTGGGAGAATTACAGCTCCGCTTCAGGGGCAGCCTAAACCAGCCCACTATACCTGCAAAAAAACCCAAACCAACCCAAAAAACCCCAGCCCTGAAGGACTTCGGTGGTCTTTACCTGCTCTCAAAAGTTTGGAAAGAGGCACCCAGCAGATGGGACGGGACGGGACTATCGCCTGGGCGATGGCGGCAGGTCTGTGGAAATGAGGTAAGCGTGGGCCATTTTCAAGCTGAACGTGCGCAACTGGAAACCAGTAAGTAGCTTTTTGCGGTCTCGCTGTGCACCGCTGCTGTGTCGGGCGCAGCTCCTTGTGCGATGTGCTGTGCTGCAGGTGATTTACTGAGCTGATTTCGATTTTTTTTTTTTTTTTTTTTCAGCTGCAGGAAACTGCACGGATTTAACACTGGTAAAAGGTCTGGCACAGCAACTGGCTAACGATGCCTATTTTATTTTTATTTTTTCCCACCCCCAAAGCAGAAGCGGGGGCAGCTGGGTGCGTTGACTCACAGCGGGGCAGGAGCGTGTTGACGGGGAAGGTTGCGGAGGGGGGGGGTTCCCGAGGGGGAAAAGCGGTGGGGTAGCCCGGGACGGAGGCAGCGCTCCGCTCCCTTCGCTGACTCAGCCGTTTGGGTTGAAGCGATCCCAGGAAGCGCGTGGTGCGGCTCCCAGACACCCGGCGCGGGCTGGGGGGGAGGTTTTTCTAATCCCGTCTGTGCTCTTTACACCCACAAAAATTAAGACCGGTATCCCGAAAAGGTTTAACGACAAGGATGAAGTCAGGAGGACCACTGGGGTGTATTTCGGGGTGTTCTGCAAATCCCCGAACGACCCTGCTTTGGCACGCGTGAGCTCTTTTCTGAAGAGGCGCTCCAGGCCCGATTCTAAAAATGTATTTTCAGTTTTGCGATATAAATCTATCACGATGATTACAGCTACCTACCCGCGCGCTGTCTTTCAGCTTGGATTAAGCCTGGTTGTTGTTGAATTTAGACCAGATTTCCTGGTCCTAGTCTTGGCTTGTGCAATCCCCCGCTTCCTTTTTGGTAAAAAACCACACTGGCAAAGCTCGTCTATTTTTAATTGTAGCGCTCGGCTTTAACACCAGGGCTGTGGTCATCCTGGAAACGCAGCTTCTAAGGCTCTTCCGTGGCGATAGGACGTGACTTGTACATGCACTGTTGTGCGTCATGTGAAGATGAACTGGGAAAGCGTCTCTGCAGGAGCTCTGATGGTTCCCGTGACTTACGTCGGGGGCTTTTTGGCCAGCAGTGAGCCTGCCCCTTCCCACATGCTGCTTCCAGAGCTCAGGACCCTCTTTTGCTCGCAGCGATCAGCGCTGTGTCGAACCGGCTTTGGATGCGGTATCCCATGGGAATGTACCCGGTGACGCGGCCGAGCCGGGGAAACACCCGTGTGCTATTGCACAAGAAACAGCCTCCTGCTCCAGCCACCGCTTGTCTGTCTGTCCCCCCTGCGAGCAAAGTTACAGATTTAAAGAGCGGAATAAAAAGTGCTTTTCTTCCCTCAAACCCACCCCTCTGAGAGCCGCCAGCCCAAACGCAGCCCCGTGGGACCGCGAAGCATGCGGCAGCGGGGACCGGTGGCTTTGGACGTGCAGCATCAGGGAACAGCATTAACCATAAGCCCCAGCGCCCAGATCTTTACGTTCCTGCCTTGGTTCCTCTTCCTCCCTCCAGCCCTGGCAGAGATGGTCCTTTCCACGGCTGTCGCGCAGAGGGACTCGGGGCAAAATAGGTGGACGGTGTCAGGTCCTGGTGTGGAAAAGGCAGGTGGACCCTCAGCCTCATGTTGGAACTGTAGAGCAGGAGAACTTAAGGGTGGTCCTCCAGATCTTCTCGCGCCACAAGCATTTGGATGCAGAGTAATGGCTCTTTCACACAGCAAGGTCCATCCAGCCCTGCTGTTTGGTTTCCAGTGGTGGGGGGGGGTGTGTGTGTATGCCCGGGAGGATGGAGGACAGGATGAGCAGATACAATGCTGCCCAAGCCTCATACAAGTCGTGCCTCGGACACTTTCTGAGTATGAGGTGGCATCCTTGGATTTTTCTTCCTTTAATGTAACTTCATTTGAGCTCAAACAGGTTTCCAGCACCTGAAATTCTCACGGCAAGGAGAGCCCAGGCTCAGCCCCATGCTATAAAGTGCCTCTTGTTTGGTTTTGAGCTTGTTGCCTGATAACTTTGCTTTATCCCCAATTTCTTGTGTTACAAGAGGCAGCGGACAACCGTTTCCCATCCACGTTTTACCTGCCGCTCTCGATTTTGCTGTTAGCGCGCCTGGCTCTTCTTGTCCTCCTGGGGCCGGCGGGACAG